GCGGAATCGCGGTCCTGACACGCCTGAACAAGTTTTAAACCCCTACTTGCCGCCTGGCTGCTTGCCTCTTGTGAGCATTTTAATTCCTGTTAATATTCCTTGTTTTTTGCTATAGTGGGGACAGAATAAATTTTATTCAGGGTGCAAATGGCAAAATATGTGTCTTTAGATTTTTACAAAGGTAAAAACCAGCTGTGGGTTTTAAAAGGGCCGTGGTTTCTTTGTTTTTCCCCCTGCATTCGAGGAAATAATTTTAAAGCCACCTAGAAATAAATACCTCTTAGAAAAAAGGGGTTAAATGCAGGCTCTGGCTGCCTTTTAGGGGCTCCTTTTTCCCCAGCTTTTGAGGCACTGATTTTTAAAACTCCACAAAAATTAAAAGCGTCATTAGGCTAGAACGATTAGAAATAAAAAGCCTTTTTTATTTTTTTATTTCACAGCTCCCCAAAGTAGGGCTTGTTTCCCAAAAACACAGGCCTCTGCTAATTATTCAGTTTACTTAGCTTTTTTCGGTTTTGAATGTCCATAGAATTAGTCTAGGGTTAACCTAATCATGTATCCAGAGGGTTGACTGCCACTCTTGATGGGATTAGGCCAGCATGTCACATCCGGAGGGTGGGGGCTGAGCACGTCACTTCCGTTTAGGGCCATGACCTGCTGACGTAATCAGCACGTGGGTTTGTTTACTTTGATGACGTCACTGATCAAAAGTGCTGATAATTTTCATTAAAAAAAGGTATACACTACTTCTACTGGAGAAAGATCTTGTATGCGATCACACTCTTCGCATAATTTCCATATTTTGTTTCCACTAAAATTGTTATTTACTTGCTTTCTTTTAAGGCTATCTGTTCCTTGTCCTTGTTGATTACATCCCCTGCAACTACTTTTTTCTCTCTATACACATTTTACATTATTTATTCTCATTCTGGGAAACAATCATACTCTGATATGCATTTTTTCACACCTGATCCTCTTTCACTTTACTATTCCACTAAACATCCTTCTTCACATTTTCCATTTTCCGGTCACCAGATGAGATCCATAGACGTTGACTTCTGTCACCCATCATGATGTAGGACAGCTGACGCTTTTGCATAATCCTTTTTAGTAAGTTAAATATGGTGTAGACTAGGTTGCCAGCCTTAGTCATGCATATACCGTGTTGCATTCCCTGAAATAATAAGGGCAATACTGTAGTGATCAGTTTTGACCTGTATGATACAAGCACAATAGTGGTCAGTTTTGACGTGCATGACACAAGCACAACCAAAGCCCTATTTTACTAAAATTGTGCTCATGGTATCCTGTGCAAGCTAAGATCCCTAATCTAGATCCCTAATCTTCCATGGACAAAATGCATTGCTCCAGGAATTCACATTAAAAAGAGGTGGGGCTTTGATTATTTGGTCATAGCAGCCATCTTGACTTTTTGATATCTCTTGCCCCCTCTCCCCATGGATGCTCCGGATTCTTCTGCAAAACAATATATAGTTCTCTTATCCCGTCAACTAAAAGTTACGTGTAGTGTTACAGAAAACAAAACACACAACTGGGCTAGAAAATATTGTGCATACAATCCTTGTTATGACTTGGAAGACACACAAAGATGCCGAATTTCATTCACGCGGCATGTAGCGGATAGCACTTACACCCCACTCTCCACCCCAGTGTTTCTCAACCTTGACAATTTTAAGGCATGTGGACTTCAACTCCCAGAATTCCCCAACCGTTCACCCCCTCACAATAGAAAGGAAGAGGCTATGTATCCTCGAAAGCCGAAAACTCTGATCTTTTGCGTTGCACCTTAAATGTTATATTTCTGATCGGCTCGTGGACCACACAGGCTCTTCGGCTCCAAACTTAAATCTTCTAACGCCACGCCAGAGGTAGGGCAGCCTGCTCCTGCCGAAACCGAAACGTGGGTGGTACATTTCACATTCAAATAATGAAAACGTTCTGTATTAGAAGGGAGGGGGGAAAGGAGCATCCCTTGCATCCCCTCAACCTGCAGCGGCTGATGCCGTTTCACCGGAAATTCAGGCTGGTTCGCCGCCTCTTCGGAGCCTGTAGCGCCTCCCTTCCGAGGAACCTCAGATGTCGCGCCTTTATTAGCCTCGGCTCCATTGAGGAAGAGCCCCTTCCTTTCGACTGAGCAATTCTCCCGCAAGAAGCAAAGCGAACGGACCAGACAACGGGGCGATGATGCTAGGATTCCTGGGGTCGGCGCTGCCTTTCTTGTTCTTGGTCCCTCTTTCGGTATTTATGCTAGTGCCGTATATCAGGTTTGTAGTGGAATTGATTTGACTTAACTCTTGTGGCCTGGAAAACTCTCGCCAGTGCAACTTCAAAAAGAAAAAAAAAACTACTGACATTTTTAAAAAGCGTTAAATCCGTTATTTGTATAATACTGGCCTGTATAATGATGTACTGTATTAGCGCTCTCTCGATTTCTGGTGAATTGGGATTTTCCCTGTTACAAAGAATGTACGTGCAGAATATTCCCTCCACCACCCCCACCACCCCGTGAATGTGTGTGTGTGTGTGTGTGTTTGTGTTTGTGTGTATTATAAACGCATGAGAAGCTAACTTGGATTTCGGTGACAAATTGCATAGCTTTTGCATTGTGAATACTGCAGCGTGGGACTGAATTTTAAAAACTCAGCCATTCAATTCATTTATATTTTATAGGAAGTATTTTGGAGGAAGGGTGTGCAAGTCTACAGCACAACTGAATGGAAAAATTGTAGTGATCACAGGAGCCAACACTGGTATAGGGAAGGAAACTGCGCGAGACCTTGCAAGAAGAGGCAAGTTATTCATGTGTGCTTATCCTTTGTAGCCCCCAGAATGGTAGGAATTGTAATAAAAGGAATGGACAGGGAACTTTGTCTTTCCAGCAGAATCAAAGTTCATCAGTAGAATGTAATACAGTTCTGGGAAATTCAGATTTTGAGAAAAATTGTCTCCTCTTTTTAAATACATTGTAATATATAGTCAACATTGACAGTAATCCTGCTTAAGCTGCAAATTCTCAGCCAACACAACTCAACCTTCATGCTTGCAGTCAAGGCTGAATTCCTGTCTCTGGCAGTTGACTTTTTCTCAGAAGTCAACTAGTAACACTAAAGATGCTGCAGCTTTTCAAGGTTTTTGTTGACATGTACAGTGGGATTTCTCAAAATGTACAGATTGCCCAATTCCAGTTTGTGTCACAATACCTCTTGTTAGTATACAAGAATATACTTTAGCTGATTATAGAATTAAGCCACTTTTTTGTTCACTTAGTACATTATGCCATAAACTGAGCTTGCACAATATACTGAACACAAAACAACAGCTAAGATTTGTAGCTCACCTGGGTAAACATATTGTATGAACACAAGTAAGGTCTCCTCTATAGTATTTCACTTTATGAAATAGACTTCTTTCCATTAATGTCCTGCTGCTGATTTTGACACTGCAGCAATTCAGTACAGGTAATTCTTGGTTAACAACAGCAACTGAGACTCAAATTTCTGTCTCTCAACAATGCAGTTCTAAAACATGATGTCATGTGACTGTGTTGCTTAGTGGCAGCAGCTCGGGCATTTCCAGTGGCGTTAAATTCCACATTGTCATTGAACAAGGATGGGTTGTGGTTGCCATTTGCGATCTCTTGCTGGTTTCCCCATTGACTTTGCTTGTAGGAAGCCAGTGAAAAAGGTCACAAATGGTGACCACAGGACTATGGGATGCTGTGATGGTTGGAGTTCCTTCAGCAGCACTGCAAATTTCAGTGATTATTGAACGAGTGGTTATTAACCAACGATCACCTGTAATTCTGACCTAGTTTACCATTTACAATTGGTACTGTAACTTGAGCTAGCTGGATAAGTGCTGACCTCCAACCGTGGAGATGGGGTAAATGAGAGTAGTTGTGTTTTTTGCTTTTCTTCTTTTTGTGTCATAGCTACACCCTG